GGTACATTTTTCAATTTTCCTAAGAATTTTTCCAGCGAATGTAAAAAATTGGAATAAAACACGAGAAAACCGGGAAAAACGTAGGAAAAATGGGAAAATCGATACAACACTTAACAAATATTATTGAAGAAAATATATGAAGCCTACATAATTATTTGACTATAAAATGACACATTTTTTTTCACACGTTTTTTCGTAAGCAATGGTTTATGGCTTCTTAAATTATCTTTAACAGTGGCTGTATCCGTCTTTTATTAATATAAATTGATGATTTGTTGAATACGATAACTAATACTCTGCTCAGAATTGTTTTTCGTTGCGTACAGTTTAGGAATTTATATTACTCTATACATCCTTTATTTTACTTTCATCTTACAGAGTTGCACGACTATTAGTAACACCAGTCTTTTTAGATTCTGAGCACAACGAGGAATATATTGGTTTTTCTATAATGTGTTATTATTATTATTTTTGCATGTCTGTGACCACCTTTATACTAAAAGCATTGCTTCGATTTTCAAGTGTACCATATTTTTCGAAATCAAATTTCATCTAATTTGTGTATTGAGGTCAATTTATTTTATTTTTCTCGCATTTTTCTGAGCTGGGAAGTACGTAGTAAAAAAAAGTCCACCACATTCGCCTGCATAGCTGTAAATTGATTTATTATTTAAAATTTAAATACAAATTATAGGATGATTTATAATAAACACGCAGCGATGCTACTGACGCTCCTAGGCGTGCGGTCATTAGGATAGTCTGATTATGGTGGATTTTTTTGATTTCGAGGGAATTCGGGTTGGTTTGGTAACACAAGCATGTCGAATCACTCGGCGCTGGAGCTGGCCTTTAAATCCCTGATAGTTTACCGAGGAGCCGTATAATTTTCTATGGTTATATACCTGACACAACTTGGCCATCGATTAGTACAAGTGATAAAATAATATATACGACTCGAGAACGAGGAAAATAACAAAAAAATAAAGAAAAAAGAAAACAATTTATTTTACTTTAGACGTACTAGGTATATTAAGTAGTTTTAAATAAATTATTAATGGAAATCCGGGTGTCACGCGAATGAAACAATTACAAAGGCATTTTTTTTCTACCCCCGTTGTTTTCGTCTTACGCGTTTTAGATTAATTAGTTTCGTTAAAAAGTTTCTTTTCCGCGATACCATTTGTATATTATAATAAAGCGTACATCAATAAATGTCGTCGTGCGCGGTTTTAACTTTGTTATATGCGCATTTATACTGCAGTCTATATACTAAAATAATGCGTGTATTTAAGGATGAGGAGGAGAAGAAATAAAAATCGATTGAGTAATAATTAATAGCTACCCCAGGAAAACGAAAAAAAAAAAAGGGGGAGAGTCGACGTGAAACGAAAATGTAGTAATGTACGCGTATATTATTATTATCGTCGGCGAATAAGCCTGACCGAGTTCTCGAGGAAATTTGAATGTAATATACTTTTCGTGAAAAAAAATAAACTTTCAAACGTCACGAACACAGTATATAAATAAAGAAATTAAACGTGGATATCTAATTAAAAAAAATGGGGCTGAAAATAAAATATAATAGCTCGGCGCGCCGGCAAGACGAGTCTGCCGGTCTATTGTTTACGGGTTGGCTTGTTTGCTCGTATTTTCGAGAACAATTGTATGAAGACGGGTTGTGTATATATAATATTTTCGTATAATTAGTAGTAAAGAACACCGTCGCCGAGTTAATATTCGTTAAAGGAAGAAAAAAAAACAAAAATAATAAAAAACGAAAGTACCTACGCAATTGCAGGGTACGTATTACAGTGGTGGAGTCTGAGGGACAAAAGGGGCGTCCCCTCCCGCGAGAACTTTTTCTTTTTTATTTGTGTACCTATAATGAATGTTTGTTTTCGGAATAGTTTATTATAATACTTACAAATTTTTGTAGGTTTTTTCAAGAATAAAGAATGGAGCGAAATTTGTGGACCACCGACGAAGTAAATGGGAATTTGTCGAAGATAGTTGAACAGAGAACTGTACAATATGATTGAATTGGCACCAGTGAAAATCTTTGTAAAAAAATATACATTGATATTGTATTTAGACAACATAGTGAGGATAGGAGATAACGAAACAGTTAAAACGAACCCAGAGGAAGACGATCTCGATAATGATCAAGAAAATTATGAATTGATGTATCGTAAGACGATTTAAAAAGTTTAGGAGTTGAAAACCGGAGAGGGATATTAAAAAAAAGAGACAGCTGATGAGGTATATTAGTTATGGTGGAAAAATCGTTTAGGAAATAAGTATGTTAGACGGTAGATCGTTTCAACGACAGGCGACAGAAAATTAGAGCAAACATGATATTGCAGCAGAGACAAGCACGTTTAAACGGATAGACGAATAATAGTCAATAGGATAATGAATGCGTTTATAAGGGATTACCTTCGATAGTTGATGAAACGAGAGAGATATTATATTAGATCAAGATGGTCGGAACATGTGATGAAAAGAGACGCACGATAATTGAATATATGAACGTATAAAGTAGATTTACGAATGCACAAAAGGAGGGGTAAAAGAGAACGTCCAACGAGTTGTACGTGTATGCTGTAATTTATAAACACGTGTAGTAGCGGAACCAGAGTAGGCATAGGGACACGTCCACCTCCTGTCAACGGACTATAGTTTTTTTATTTATATATTTTATATTAATTGACTGAAATTATAAACAATATGCCCTGTCCTCTTTCAAAAATGTCTGCATCCGCCGTCGATCGCGTGGTTTGTCACAATGTCAATCCAGAAGTCACTTTTTAGTTTACGGATGTTATATTTTGGTCGTAAATTCTTATTGAATCAAAATTCGAAAGTTATATTTTAAAAACCACATTGTATTTTGATTTCGCATAAGAGTAAAATTAATTTACTATAATATAGGTTATTTTTTATACGAATTTAATCCGGCTTATAAAGAATGCGAAGTGTTTTAAATTCCTCTTACTGACAGGAAAACGAAGGTCGCGCAAGAGTTGTAGAATATATATGTCACGTTAAGTCGCTCGTCACAAAAGATCCGATAGTAATTATTATTATTGTTGTAACCTAACTGCAAACGATAATCGCGAAAGGTGCGGCACTAGTCCCGATTAGTTTCGCAGACTTTTTACGGACACGGATCGCCGAGTATTATTGTACTGCAGTAATTATAAATACGTTTCGCTCTTGCCTCTTATACACCAATATATATATAAATATATATATGTAATACAGGATGATCCTATATTGTGAACTGTATTTCGTATTTTGCTTCTCACACGAATCGTAAATACATTATTCGGACGAAAACAAATTTTGTTTTTGTATTTCGTCAGTAATTTCAAAAAGTTGCAAAGTTAAGTATGAATTTTCTTATAATATAGAAATTAAAATTCAAAAATCTTTTTGATGTTGTCCCCGTTATTATTTATTTGCTTAAAGTATAATCAAAATCCCTGATTTCCGATCCTTTCACGTGCCGTAGATTTTTAGATATCCGCTTTAACGTGAATTTGTATCGAACGACTTTCCCGCAAGAATATAAACCCAGTGGCTATTTTTCCTCACTTTGCGTAGTCCACAAACATGTATGACTGCATTTGAGTTTGTTGCATATAGGATATTGACGGAAATGTTTGCACCAAAATTTATTTTAACTAAAACGTCAACTATCTGTGGAATTTTTAACGTAGGCTGCTAATTAAAAATGCAAAAGAGATAGTGGTTTCAGCCTCGAAAATAAGAATAACAAAAAACTAACGGAAATATAATATTTTAGAGCTATTTGTTTTATAAGTTGTTAAAAAAAAAAAAACCCGAAAAGTAAATACTTTCCGTGATAATTTGTATATTATCGTCCATTGATTACACTGTAAATATGTTATAATACGAGTATATATATAAATAGAAAAATTGTTTTCTTTCTGGAATACCTCGTGGCTCATCTATAATAAAAACGTAAGTAGAAGTTACAAATTTTAACTGTTTATAGTTCACATTTGGGATTTTGCAGTGCACATATATATATATATATCAAAAATAGTCACTAAAAAACCAATTCTAAAACCAAAATTATACTATTGGTGTTTGCATGGAGAGCGAGGTTACTGGTTACGGGTCTTATTGGTTAAAAAGTTCAATACCTGTGAAAATATGAGTGTTTAGTTAGTAATTTGATTTCGACATTATTATATGTTTTATTTAAATTACAAGGAAAAAAGCTTGGTTTATTGAATATACATTTTTCAGATTCCGGTGTAGCGAATAATGTATTGGTTATTTGTAAAAAGATGTTTATTTATTTGTTATTTTTTTATATTGTATACAAAAATTCTACCAGAAATCGTGCTCCAAAGTATTAAGTTCAGCACTTTTTCCGAAAGAGAATTTTCCTAGGCTGGTACTTTAGGGAGGTTATTTTTTGATTTTCCCAGGGGTTTTTCCGAAGTTTTTCCATAGCAATGATACATTTTTGTAAACAGGTATACATTAAATTTTCTCTCAAATTTTCTAAATTTTACCTAACAAAAGTTGCCCACCAATGTCTTTTTTTGGATCTGGATTTTAAATTTACACTGTCGGATTAGGTATAACAGAAGACGGTTATTGGACGATTATTTATGGACAATCACTATCGATTATTATTTGCTACACAACCCCTGCTTTTTGAAATTCACGAGCACGTCACTGCACTAGACTGGTGACATGGGCGGACAAAGTATATTATTCAAATCGGTAGATAAAAATCGAGTGTAGTGCAGCGTGTACGATTACACTGTACAATAATAATTATTACAATGCAATGTCCACTGTGAAATGCATTTGTATGCGTGGGCCCGATGATGTTTTCACTTGTATAAAATATCCATTTTTGGACTCGTACACAGGCGTCCGGTGAAGCGGCAGCGGTGGGAACAAATATCTAGAAGCCTTCGTCGTTGGCGCCGGTTCACCGCGACACAACCGGACCACAGACCGCACAGGACGGAACGAGTTCTCCGTCGACGTCGTGTTTAGGAAGACGATCGAACCGGTCCGCAGCTGACGATGCCGGTTATTGCGACGGGTTACCGCGATCGCGCTTATTACCGACTATCGGTGCTTCCTCTGATTCTGCTGGTGTTGGCGCTGCAAATCTTGGCGCCACTAGTCGATTGTCGGCATAAACATCACCACTGGAAGGCGAACGTCATAAAAAACCATTTAAAAAACCATAAAAGCCTCGAGGGAATGGTGCGGCTGGTGGATGGCGGTTCCGAGTACGAAGGTACGGTCCTAATATATTACGAGTACTATATAGTATTATTAAATACAGGATTACGGGACAAAAGCTGAGGGGGGCCAAAGGCGAGTATTTTTAATAAAAACGTATGAGACGTTACGGAATATTTAAAGCAATCAATTATACAGATACGCTTCACTAAGTTCCACTCGTATTTATTATAAGAAAGTCGATTGTCAATGGTAAAAACACGTTCACGAAAACCAGACAAACATACCGATTAGAAAAGATTTCAGAGATGCGATACAGACGTCAGACCTACAATAATAATGGCCGTAGAGCAGAAAAAGGTTTCCGAGCAGGTCGGTAACCATTACGTGGGAATGAGCCATTTTTTAAAAAAAAAATTTTAAAACATTGATTTTCAAAGAGCGGCAATGGTTAAGATAAAAAAACATACTATAGTCGAAGAAAATGGCAAATATGTTTTACTAAGCCATTTCATTGAGAATTGATAAGTATTAAAAACACAATAATGCGTTTTAAATTTTGACACATTTGTCAAAGAGTTAAATATTGCATGTTAAGGAGCCGCACGTTCCCGACCTCTGCCGTAGAGGAAAGTATCTCTCGTGAGTTTTCCAAAAAATCAATCGGCTCTGGGACACGTATTTCATTAATCCGCGGCTCTTGTTTAGGGGGGGAATTGTATATCGAAAAATAGATATAAATCTATTGACGGTGGCGTCGAGTGTTATGTTATTTATTATATTTATTGGTAATAGTATACAGCCGGTGTTGCAAAATATTAAAAATAAAGCGCAAACGATTTGTATGGTCACCGCTGCTGAACATTGATTATGGGAACCCGCAAAATACGGCCAGTCCGAAAGAAATCTGAGAAACCGGACACTGGTCGCCTGTTGTAGAAAACTGTAAGGACATTGACAACTTGAAGCAAAGCAATAAGAATATGTTCAGAATTTCAAACAAATTGCCTGAGACGCGATTAACCTAGTCTCTAACGCAATTTTTTTTTTGTTCGTACGCGATTCAACAATTTCAATTCAATTTATATCTGCATATAACGGTAAATAATTATTGTGAACATAAACGGTCTTGAAGAAAGTTCGGTTATCTGTCTTCTGAAACCCCGTATTATTCGTTAAAATTCGAATTCAAAAAAACTTATAAAAAAAAAAAAAAAATGTCTTATGTTTCGATTGACTTGCAATTTTCAAAAATTTCTGCTTAGCTAAAATAATGTTATCCTTATTAAACTAAATAATAACTAAAAAAAGAAAATGGAAAATTGTATATGCCTCTTAACAGGTCAATTATGTTTTGAACATTTTATACAGATTTTCCTAGTTTTCCAACATTTATCCTGGTTTTTCACATTTGTTTGGAAAACTCCTAAGAAAATCGAAAAATGACCTATTTAAAAGACTTCCTTAGTGAAATTTCCTTTTAGAAACATCGCTAGCATTAAAAGTTGGACCAAAATTGCTGGTAGAAAAGTTGTGAACAGAAAAAAAGAAAACCGTAATATATTTTAACTAATACCTACATTTCTTATATTTTCCCGTTTTTTTTTTCGGTTTTTCTTATTTGATGAGAAAACTCCAAAGAAAATTGAAAAATGATATCTTTAAAGTACCTCCCCACGCCTATTTCCTTTCAGAAAAGGTGGTACACTTAGAAATTCAAGCAAGTCTCTTGAAAGAAAAGTTGTTAACAGATTAAAGAAAAAAAATAAACATCTTTGTAAAACCATAAGCTTCTTCGCTCCACTCAGAAACTAAAACGAAATATCAAAAATTAAGTGGCCGTTGTTGTTGTTGCAAGATATTCCTGCGGGCTTTCCTAATAATTAAGAGAACTCCAATAAAATTAATCAAAAGGCGACCGCTCAAATGAAATAATCATAAAAAAGGTGTAAATAAGAAAAACCACGCCTATAATCTTTATATTTTAAAAAAGCATCCGTGTATAACAATAATATTGTATTTTTGGTTGGTCGTTTGGTTATCCCCGTGGCGGTTTTTCACCGGCACAGTACTTTTGGTGACGTGTCGCAAAAATCGTGTATTTTCCTCACGTATTCACGTGACTTATTTTACGACCGGACGACGAAATATTATTTTATTTTCCATTACGCCCCGATACTCCGTAATCTGTAGAATACCAGTAATAAGTAGAAATGTGATATAAATAATAAAACGCCGGAAATTATTCAATATTGACCAAAGATATTGTACGGCTATAATATTATAGATTTCGAACGCAACGAGTAATGTATTGGTTAAACTGATTGTGTATGTGTGTAAGTGTTTTTTTTTTTTTCTGTTGCTATCCGTTTTCAACTTTTCTACCGGGAAAAAACTGATTGAAATGTATTATTTTATTTCTGAAAGCAAATTTTGTTAATTTAATGGCTGATTAGGTCGTTTTTTGATTTTCCTGTGAGTTTATTTTAAATAATGGGCAAAACCCGAAAAGTTCGACCCTTTAGAAAAATAGTGGTATAAAATATATAACATTTTTCCAAAATAAATTTTCTATTCTTCCGTGGTGGTAAATATTTATTGCCATCTACATAATCATGTTAAACATGTTGTTAGAATTGTCCGATATAAGGCAGCACCATCAAAAATTATCCGTTGGCATTTAATCAGTTATTATATTTTATATTGATAAACACTTATTATGTGTTTGTGTAGGATAAATTATCATAAAATGTTGTGCTTCAATGTAGAAAACATTGGTTTTGGAATTTACGGTTCTGGGTTTTTTTTTTCGCAAATTAGTTTAAAATAGATCTGAAATCGTTATAAAATAATTATATTCAACTTTCTAATTGTTTTAGCAATTCTTTTTGTTTTTAACTAAATATCTTGTTCTAAATTTCACGAGTAGTGTTTTGTCTAAAAAAAATGTCGTCAAGTTTTCTAATTAGCAAAAAAGGAATATATTTTCGATTCTAAGCGAAACAAGGAATATATTGATTTTAGAATAATATTATTTTTTTTTATCAATAAAAAACTTTTTTACCAGAAATCTTGTTTGGATTTTCAAATTTACCTCCTATTCCATAGTATTGATTACTTCAGATATACATACAAATTTCAATCTATATCCTACCATTTCAAGTTCTCACCCTACAACAGTGACCCACCTTTTACGCGAAGTATATTCGTATTTTAGATTCTGAGTGGAGTGAAGAAGCTTATAGTTTTACAATGATGTTTATTATTATAATTTTTTTCTGTAGGCAACTTTTCTAACAGAAATCTTGCTCCGATTTACAAGTGTAGCACTTTATTTTAACGGAAATTAGATTACTGGGGAAGTACTTTAGTGGAGATAATTTTTCGATTTCCCCAAGAGTTTATACAATAATTCCGAAAAACCGCGAAAAAAACATAGGAAAACGGAAAAATAGGTACAATATTAAACAAATATATAATGAATGAAGCAAGAAAGTAAAAAAAAATTATTAAAATGGTTAATACATGTAAATAAACAAGCTATTACGTTATTTACATTTTGACTGTGGTTTACTTGATGATGAATTTTTAATTCGAAACCAATCGTAATATTACACTTATCACAAACTTTAGGCGACGCATTCATTAATTGATTAATTTTATTTGTATATGTACATTTTTTTATTTTTATATTTATTTACTTTAAATGTATGATGCTTATGTAATTATTTGACCATAATATGACATATATTTTGTTCACAAAGCAACACTATCGACTGAACTTCGCTCAGAATCGTTTTTTCGTTAGCGATAGTTTATCGTTACTTATAGATACGCATTACATTTCCCCTCTACCTACGTGTGAAGTTGCCCCGCGTTTTAAAATTCATATTCGAGTATTTGGTATGCATATTGAGCGGATAGAAGTAAAGAACGAACGTTTTGACAGTTTCGTACAAGGCTATATCCATGTTTTAGTTTGTTCTCGAAACTTCAAATAGGTTATTCCCGGAACTTTTTGATGGTTTTAGGAGAAAATAATGATATGAACTGACGAAAACACGGTCAAACTTCTCGGGCAAACGTTTAAAAACGTAACGTTTCTCCGTAGTACCCCGTAATTGTAGCACCGTCAAAATAATAACATTCTTTAATCCTAAAAGTAGCTCGACATTTTTACTGGAAATCCGTCTACAAACTATCGAAAATATTATGACCAATTTTATTTTTCTGAAATTCGTCATTATATAGTTATTTGTATGGTTTAATAATTTCCGTGGATATTATTTATTATAATACATTATTACATTCATAACTCGTGTGTCGAACGGATATTATAGTTTACCGGCTGTAATATCGATCACAGTGCTGGCGAAGAACCTGAGAGACGTTTTAGCGTCGCAGACATTTCACCGCCAAGTTTATACTCTGTGTGAAGTGTCGAGAAAATTGTCGAAAAAAAAAATCAATAAACGATAAATCGTTAAACATAAACAACCTGAATGAAAATTGATTTATCGAAAACTGTGTGTGGGCACCTAAAACATAAAAAATTGTATATATTATTATCATATTGCTCACGATAATGATGATTTTAAATTTATTCGCGTATTATACAAACATATTTCTATTAGAAAATTACATTACAATACTGTACCATGGTAAAATATTTTATAATTATTATACCCATTCCGTCGAGCATCGAATGAAAATTTGCATAAAAACAATGAAAATCAGGCAAGGTTAAAACTAAATTTTACAAATGCATTTTGACTGTAAATATTTCTGAATATTATAAGAAAAAAAAAAAAAAACAAAAGTGAGCAACGGAGCTCTGTCATTGAAGTCGAACTTCCCCCAATTGTTATCTTTTAAAACAATAAGTTTATTTTTTTTTTATATAATTTTATTGATCTAAAATAGTTAAGCTTGCCAGAATTTTTTTATATTTTAATCTGTAGGGATATTGAATAAAACCCGGTGTTTTCCACAAAAACATGTGATTTGAGCATGCAAATGTTCGGGTAGTGGTTTGAATGTTTAAACCATCAAAAGGCAAATGCTCGGTACTTAAATCGCTCGTATGACAAATCGTATCTCCCTCGATTTATTTGTATGCTTAAAGAGGTTTTTGAGGGGACGTTTAAATTAAAAAAAACTTTCTCTTCACGACACAACACGGTAAAATTCAACCGAAATTTTACATTTAAAGTCCGCACACAAAATGACTCTAATACTCGGGTTTGAGCATATTCAGTCCGGCGAGGTATTTACTAAATGTATCGAAAAGTTGCGGGTAAAGGATAATATATAATATAGTATAATATTAGCCAGTTTTACTCAAACTTTGTTTATGTTCTTTAGCTGATAGGAGGCGATAGTTGTTAATCTTAATTTTATCAACTAACTAACAGATGGCTATCTTGACTATCTTGTTCTACTATCTTTGTTTAATTTTAAAGACTTTTTTATTTCTGTTCGTCATATATATATATAAATATCATCATTTTCTTTTTTTAAGAGTAACACTTATTAATTATGTTGAGAACCAGCCAATTTTTAGAACGGTGCGTATGACAAATAGTGATCCATTAGCTTTCTAGTTTTTTGTTATACCTACAGCTATTTGGTGTTATTATATTTTAAATGTTAAAATATGTTATTAATTTAGCAATCGAACTTAGTCTGTATTGTTGAAAATAAAAAAAAAATAATAATAATAATATAATCGACACAATCATCAGTGTGATGATCTATATTTTCGAGGAAAATTTGTCAAAAAATGTGAAGTATTAATATCAGTATGTTCAGTTGATTTTCGACTTGCGCGTTTGTTTTTTACACTTCTCCGGTGGAACGGGACAAGTACCTATAGAAACGCACGACGTATATTATTAATATATAAAACGACTTGCGCGGCTAACGAAATTAGCGATATAAATAATTTAGCGACGCGTGTTAATTTTTGTTACCAAACAGGTAGCAGCAGTGCCCCGTCGGTTATGCGTTGTCACTCCGTCGTGTTTTCGATTAGACTTGATTACACACGGCGACAGCCATGGCCATTTTAATATCATCCACCAACCCGTGAACGTATTTCGCTGTCACGGCACTAATTATTTTCGTGCACGACTGTAGACGAAAAAAAAAAAAAAAGAAAAAGAAAGAAAGACATGAAGCAAAAACCCAAATAAAAAATTGGTTTTTGATGGTGTCGATTAGGCGAATTTATGTTACACGCGTGTAAAACAAAGAAACCCAAAAATCTACAGTTCGCTGCAAACTATAATGCAGTCCGATAACATTTTCGATTATTTTACGACTATGGTATGTCGATTCAAATGAATGTTACGGAAAAAACTCCTACGAATAACTAAACAAACACTTGAATGTTTTTTTCTGGATTAAAATGCATAGATTATAGGACCGTATAGATTGTATACTATATATTCCATAGAGTATGTGTATCCTCAAGATATATTTTGTTTATGTATTTTAAATAATTTCGTTTCTTATAATTACAGGCAACGTGGAAATCTTACACTTGGGCAAATGGGGTGCGGTGTGTGATGACGAATGGGACATACGCGAAGGTCAGGTGATTTGCAGGCAACTCAATTTCGGTGGCGCCGTCAAGGTCACGCACAACTCACATTTTGGACAAGCGACCAGTAAGTACGACATAACATAACTATAAATTATTATTTCCGTATAGGAGGATTATTTTTAATTGGAGCTGGCTCGATCAATATTTACGACGAAATAGTCATAGGATTTCCGAAAAATTGCGTTTTTATTTTTTTTAGATTTCATATAAGTTATGTATGGTTTAACGTTTAACTATGTATGATACAGATTATTTTTCTTTCGGATTGCCTCCGAATACAATTTCCTCTGCCTTCTTTCGGCAATTTTATTCTTAAACATTTTTTTCCCCCGAAAATCGTACATTTTGGGTAGAATACCATTATCATTTTATACAACTCATCAGTATTTTGAGACGTTGTTTCGAGCGATAATGTATAATATGTATATTCAACATTTTAATATGAATGATATTTTTTCTCTCGAGGGAGATACTGGATGGACAACACTCGTTGCGGTGGCCATGAGAAGGAGATCACCGTGTGCCGGTTTGACAGTTGGGGCGAAAACGACTGCGATCCGTCCGAGGCTGCGGGCGTGGTATGCTATTCGCCGGAATCGAATATGACACTGAATAACGCAACCACTACCATAGTTGTCAATCTACCGAAGAAAAAAGTCAAAAAACACAGAATCAAAGTAAATAATTACATTATATTTGTTAAATCACCCAATATTATCCGGGTTCGTTTGTTTCAAAATCAGAAATCGATAAAAGAAATTTAAATTGGCGTGTCTTCCCGTTTCCATCCTTATCCCTATCACAGCTGTTCATCTTTGTTGCCGGTTATTTATTTAAAAAAAAACTTTCTTGTCTGTGGCAATTTTATTAAATAATAATAACTGTTTTTGTTCGTCCGTATCACCAAAGTGTAACCCATAAATCAACAAACAAAATATATTCAAGTTTTGTTCCAAAAATACCGAAAACCCAATGTTAGCCACTCTTAAGTGAGTAAATTTCGAGATAAAAGGAAATTGATGCATTTTTCTGGTTTTAAATGGCATGTGCTTAAAATTTTATCAAGAAATGTACTCAGAATATTTTAAGTGAAAAGACAGACATTCAGATATACTGAAAGATTTCTAATTGTATATAATATAGGATCATTCTATTTAATTTCACCTGATGCGTGTGCTGGACAAATTGTATTAAATTGTCGAAACTTTTAATTTCCAATAAACAAATTGCATAACTTAAATTTAGTAATATATGGTTTTAATTTTTGAAAAAAAACTTCAATTGCCTTTAGAGGCCAATAAATAGAAATTTTTAGATAGAAAAATGCGTATTGTTGCAATTGTATGACACGTATGAACATTTATTCGTGTTACAAATTGTGTGTTTTTTTTTTTTTTGAAATATACTTAACTTCCTATTTATTTAAAATCATCTAATATAGCATGGAATGGGTCATGGAATTACCCTATAATATTTTTAAATTTTTTTTTTTCAAAAACTTGACAGTATCGTAGGTAACAGATTGTCAATGTTATCGATTTTTTGAAGGATTTCTGGAAGGTAAAATAAATCGAAAACAAATCGATTCAGAAAGCCTACAGTTTATTAACTACCAGTATTAGTTTATTATTTCAATTACGGTCATAATTTCCACAATTTCTAGTACATGTCTCTGTTTGATTCTATGTGTAGACTTTTTAAAATTATCTTTACCTCTGTATTTCCAACTCTATATTGGAGGTCCCTAGGTAATTTTTGACTATGGTATCTCGTTTACTTTGTACTATTGTTTGACCTCTAGACAATCATTTACATAGTTTTTTCATTTCGTTATATTAGTTCTTCTATTGTACACTACGGATTCTATTAAGTTGAATCCGCTGAAGAACTGTATTCTTTCAAAACCAGAATTTTTATTAGTTATTTTATTAAGGATTCAAACGGCGCTAATAAAAATCCTAACGAAAAACGCAGTCGTATTATATTATTCCTTTTTTTCTGTATTTATACTAGCGTTCCGGTCACGTTGCCCGGTCTCGTATTTTTTAACATTGAAAAAATCCAAAAGAATAGCGCGAAATACTGATTATTATAAGTTAATTTTTTTTTTTTCTTTTTCCTTCGTAAACGGATAAAAGGAATATGGAAAACTGTGGAAAAACTGTCATAAAAAAAAAAAAAAAAAAATAATAATAATAATAAAACATTAGCCACTCGGTTTGATAAATATCAGCTTGTATATCATTATATTTTGTTAACTGTTACGGGGCGTTCGGAGTAGGCAAATCGGGTACTCGCGTGCATATAAACCGGGTGCGTTGTAGCATTCTATTCGTGTACTATGTTAATGTTATTATTGTTGTATCGCGTTTTTCATTATTACTGTTGTTATCATTATTGCGTATCACTTTATTATTATGTTGCACAGGACACTTTAGGATTCAACGGCGAGCTTCGATTGGTCGGCGGCAGAACGCCAGAAGAAGGCCGAGTGGAAGTCAAGACCGACGACGGTAAGTATCAACGGATTGCAGCGTATTTTTATTTATTTCAATTAACTATTCAATATAATAACAATATTCCGAGTTGTTTTCTCATATGTAAGAACGATATTCCTTCCACGCATAGGTCTGGCTGTCTGATCGCTAAACGAATCTACAGTTACAATCCGGTCTCGATTATATTTCGACATTCAAAACAAGAAAAATGTCTTCGTCTACATATTTAACTCGAAACGTAACCCCCGATACAGTTGTGAATTGTCGGTTGTTTCGGAATGAAAACTGATTTTTTTTTTTTTTGTTGATTTGTTGATTTATGGATTAATTTGACGACACGGACGGAAACCGCCGTTGTTATAATTTAGTCTGGTCGCATACACTTTTTAAATCAGATAGAATATTGGGCGACAACGATTAACTGCGATGGGGATAATGGCGGAACTGAGGAGACGCTTCAAATGGGATTTCTGTTTTCCAAAGGATCGCGGCCGGTAGACGCGCGGGTTATTCAAACGGTAATCAATAATATTTTAATATTTAAGGTGTGCTCATAACTGTATACATATATATTTCGACGTTTGTTGCTAAATTATACACACGCGAAAACACGTGTCTATACGCGGTAAATATTTACAGTTCGTTAGTGACGTTGTCGTGGCTCACTGTTGCAGATAACTTATCGCGATATTTCGAAACGGTAGTTTTTCTACAATATCTCTGACGATAAAACTGATATAGTTAGAAACAAAAACAACCCGGCGACAACCGGTCGGCTTGATACTGCACAACACTAAATAAATATATAATTTTTACCCCCGTTCGCACTCAGTTTCACTGTTTACAATCGTAACTAACATTATGACGTTGAGTAAATGTTAACAAGCCGATGGGCACATTCTATACGTTCGTCGTCGCGTTACGATTCGAGCTAAAACCAATTTATCGGATTATGTCCACGAAGGAAAATCATTTTTTATTATTTTTTTTTTTTCATTGCACATCGTTATCAAGACGCCTAGGCGTACGAAAATGGCTCTCTCCACGTGACCATTATATTTTTCCTCGTTTTCGCTTTTAACATTATGCTACACCCGTGTGTATCTACTTTCCCCGCTTTATAAATCGACTGGATAACGTCGGCACGTTTTTCGGTTTAAAATTGTCTAATAGAAAAACTCTCATTCCTCATAGAATGGTCCTTTTTCTAAAACTGTTTTTTTTTCTTTCATATTTTATACTCTATTTTAAACTTCCAACTTGAACCACATTGAACTCCGTTTTTAAATATATTTTAACCTCAAACTTTTTAACATGTTTTTTTTAAAAAAAAGCCAATGAAAAGTTATTTTTCACCAAATTTCTCATACCTACCATTATTTGATATCAAATTAAAAAAATCGGAGTTCAATGATTTAGAATGAATACCAATAAATACGTGATAAATAGTCTTATCAAAATAATTTTTGAATTCTACAAAACCGGAGACAATTTGGAAAATGGGATTCCAGACCTTTGAGACGAATGTATTTCACTGTGTATTATAGATACCAGACGTCAGAACGCATACACGTCGTTGTCATTTGGAGAGAAAATATTTATTTTTTTTACCCATGACGTGAAAAAAGTTATTTAATACATTTTTAAAACCGGCGACGGCACCGCGTGTATCGTTTTGCGAAAATGCGTGAAATATTCAACGCAATTACAAATACCATTAATTTTAAAGCGATGACATAACGACGTTCTAACAATGCATTGTATACTTTATACCGTGAAAATTTAAATACATACGATTTTGCCGTATAAATATGTTTATTAGGTTTTTACGAGGCTAGGTTTTTTTCGTCTGACCGACGAATAACAATATTACCTATGACACTATTAAAAACGGTAGCGTATTAATTACAAAAAAACTCGATTTTGAGTTATAACACTTTTCCTATTGTATATTAAATGCAGTCCTTTGCGATGCATTTTCTCATAGTTTACACAAGTTCACTGAGAAAATATTATTATGCATTGTGTATTAAAAGTGCAATACCGAAATAATAAACTATTGCCTTGCAATTAATTCAAATACAGTTATTGCTTCGGTCCACTATACCTGTGTGTTAATTAAAAACAGTTAAATTCGTACATTGAATAATTAGATTTGCTTGATTTGAATTGTACGTGGTGATAAATTAGTTTATTTTATATTTTACTGGGGTTTGAAAACGATTAAACTGTTTAAACTTTTTTATCAAAACATTCTTTACAATCACGATAAAAAGATTTTACTACGTTACCGTTTTCAAAGTGCGTTTATCGACGGTGAAACGTTTCGAAAGCGTTTTATACTATTTGGTCGGGTCGGTTAGTGTGAGCGGCTCTTGTCCAAAGTTATTAAAGTCCGAGTGTTTGTGCGTTTAAATGGGATGCTTCCCAGTACGGAGTAGTTTGTCAAATATTTGACTTTCGGACGTTTACTTTGGGCCGTATCACAGTTTCGCGTTTTGGGTGTCGAGTGTAAATCGAGTCAGGTTCGCAAGTATAGGTAATAATGATTACCATCCGGGTTTCAAAATCGATTTTGACGATGTCGACAATATCGAAATACGAATATACTAATGCTCGAAATGTGCTGGGTTTTTTTTACTACGATTTGGTTTTTAGTCTGTCTGTAAACAATCTTTTCTACCGACCATATTGGTCAGTTCACAAACTGTTGCGTATTATTATTTCCTAAAATAAAATGTCACTTTGTCGGTGTATGGAAAAAACCATCTTGATGTTATCCATGTAGATTTTTAATATAGTTGAGAAAAATCGGAACATTTACGCAGTAACATTTTACGTTATTTTCGATTTTGTTTTTGTAATGCACTAAGAAATAATCGTTAAGATCTGCAATTTTCACAGAACATTAATTGTGTTATAGACATGTAAATTTTCCAAAAATCTCTGACGGATTTTGACTCGTGCATATGTATTTGAAGTGTTTTCGTTTTTTAGTTTTGGTTCGGTTTTATGCGAATAAAAATGTTTTGAGAACATTTTATACGAGATTCGTCTTAATAATGATATGATGGTTGTTGGAGGTGAAATTAAATGGGGACCATACGTACTTACAAAAATACTAACGTCAGTGTTTTCTAACAGTTTAAATTTTAATACGTCGAATTGATCGTTAATATGCGTGATGCTTATTAGGTTGTAAATAATCATGCATCAGTGAACACGTGATGTGAAGTGTAAAACTGCATGACCACTCAAATATTGAAGTACCTACTGAAACAATGGCTGCTTTTTTCACGATTCACGTTTGCGGATTTTAACTCGGGCACGAATCATTCGAAAATTTTGATTAACGTCGGGTTTTATCATCGTAAAATTGATCGATTTAATTCCATATTTCTCTTTTTTTAGCACGCAGCGTTGTCAAGAAAACCGAATCTACGGGCAAGATTTTTGCTTGATAGGACAACGATTTCCAATTTTCATATTTGATTTAAACTATAGATATAGGCTTTTAATATTAGATGGAGAAACACGTGTTTCGTCCATTGCGCGTGAGTGAAAACAGTTGTCAACATTATTGAACGAACGGTTTAAATTTTAAGTTTTGAGTACACACTTTTTTTTTTTTATTTTGTCTACTCAATTACAGGATCTAAACGGCACAAAAAGCTCATTAACAATGCGTATTCATATGAAGGACGTTAAAAAAAAAAAAGTACCGAATGGAAAAATTCAATATTTCCAACAGAAGAAAGTTATTGCCGTCCTAAAAAAAAATAATTGTTAAAATCACTAATAATTGTTTTTTGACTCTCATGAAAACTATGAATTGTGTCGCTTAGACCCTATTGCCGTGTCACTATTGATATTATTTACATATTCGCTAAAAATAACCACCGAAAATACGAGTTATTGGTGTTATTTGGACACAAGTTAACGGATAGAAAATCGCATCGGACAATCCATATTATATGTCGTCATTTGAAGAAAAAGCCATCATTTGGACGATTTCATGTGGACTATCCAAACATCGATCGGCACAAGCACAGACGTAATCAGGTTTTCGTGACAAATCGTTAAAATCTCGGCCATGTTTTGAACAAAATAAAGGACTGGCGTACCTCAGCAATTTAAAGCGATTGAATTCACACACTCATTTTTGACCGACCAAGATGGTTCGGGACAATATTTTGCATTAACAGAGATCGTCGTTTTTTTCGGACGCACAATTATAATTTTCCGGTCGTTTATCCGGGGAACTCGAATCGGCTATACGTTGTTTGACATTTTGTTTTTTATAAAAATCTACGGCCAAACTTACGAGTTATGTGACATTTGTGAAAAAAAAAAAGCGGCCATATAACGGGCATCACGTAACGCGAATGATTTATATATTAATAATGCAATGTTTTCGATTTGTATAAACGCGCGCGCACGCGCCAACAATAATACAAGTTTCGCGTACCGGAGTTTTTTTTTTATGCGTTTCATAATGTTTCGCGTTCCGTCCGTTCGCCGTTGTTTATGGCGAAACGTTTAAACGGAACAAATAAAAATCGACGACACGGCGAAATCGTTTTACTCGGCTCTGCGTTTGCGTTTTTTTTTTTTTTCCGTTATTGTGACCCGCCGTGCTGCGCAGTGTAATATAATATACATATAAGTACGAGCATATAAAATATAACATGATTTATTAATATTATTGCTATTATTTTGATTGTATCCGTTTGATTTTATTATTATTTTATATTCCGAGCGCACCGGGTGATGTACTATTGGTTTTACTATGGTTTTAGATCCCGAACCCAACGAGCGATCTATTATTATTATTATTTTTAGTGTCCGAGTGGAGCGAAGAATGGCATTGGTTTTACAGTGATGTTTAATTTTTTTATTTTTTTTCTGTGGACAAATTTTCTACCAGCAATTTCGCTCCGACTTACAATAATAGACCTTTTTCTGAAAGAAAATCTGATTGAAGAGATACATTAGGGAAGTAATTTATTGATTTTCTCAATAATTTTTTTTTTTGTTAATTGTAAATATCAAGCAGCTCTCAAGTAACTCTTAAATGATACGTTACCGTTATTTTTGTGACGGAGGTGAAATAGCTACCTGCTTTTAAAATTCAAACAGTAACCTATATTGAAAATATCATATCTGGATGAAGTATTTGTTAACATTATGTCAACCTACGTTTCGATTTAAAATTTTTAATTTTCGACAGGGAGAGAGTAGTGGATTATTATTTGTGTGGCAGCATGATGTTTAAATAGTGTTGAACTTCTCCTCACTGACCAAACTTTACAATAAAATATCTAGTCAACGGTTTGACGGAAATTTAAAATCTATAGATTGATAGTATTATAATACTTCATCTATCGTTAGTTTTTCTTTTCTAAAATAAAGATCAATATTTGATAAACAAATGCAGCTAATGGTTTTATTTTTGGATCTTATTTACTTGACGATAATCTGAGAAATGGTACTAGATTAATGTCGTATAAATCTTTATTACCCATATTTCAAATGACTACGATTTTTATCCAGTATAAAATATGAAGACAGAATATAATTATATCGTGAAACGAAAGTTTTCAGTACAAAATAATTAACAAAGAAACGATAAAAAGAATAAATAAACAAAAGCACTAGAAAAACAATACAGTTATATGGTTTAATTTACTAGTAAAAAACGTAGTCTAACGAAACAGAAATGGTTCGCTATTACTTCTCGTGTACAGTATATGTAAAAACGAAACTTAAGTGTAGGTAGCCGTATACCTATATAGCTTGTTGTTCGTGTTTCGTATGTCGTCAAGTCTGAAAATATATTTTCATACCATAATTAATTATCACTCCAGTGGATACATGAATATACGACGAAAAGAATATTTGCGGGAAACCAGATTCACTTGAATATCGAAAGGTTCTCAGCTGGTTTCGGCATAAAAAAAATTTGCTAGCGAATAACGATAAAATTTGAAAATTTTTATTTCATAGTTTATTAAAAAAAAAAAAATTAAATAAATATAAGAAAAACTATAAACGAGTTTAATGATGGAAAAAATATATGTTAATATAATATAACGAAAAACATTATTGAATGAAATAAGTAATTAGGATTAAATAAAATGTAAACAATAACCGATAGCTTTACTTGAAGTTCGTATCGGTTTTGAACGGTGAGAGAAGAGGGCGCGGGTGTTGGCAGCGGGTTGTCGAAGGTGAACGTCACTAGAACGGCGTTACAAATGAAATGGGGCAAATGCCGCGCCACGGTCCGTATTTATACTCCTGTTCGGTGGTCGGAGGCCGTTGGACGGCAGCATTGGTCGGCGGTCGAAGACAGCGGCGCTCGCGACGAACTTTACGGGTGGCGGCGTGAGAAAAACCGCGAGAGACCGTGAGAGACCGGTTGACTGGTGGCGCGTGCGGTAGGCTTGTGGTGGCCTTGTTGCGTAGAGCGCGACACTCTGCGGTTTGTATTGTGGTGCGGAAAAAATCGGTTGCTTATGGCGAAAACAAGAAGTTGCATATCATGGTATATTATTATGCTTTATGGACAGCTGTTATTTTTGCGCCTTACAATGTGTTCATTACATATTACGGGATTATGCGCAATTATTCAAATAATGCATTAACTCGTGATAAATCTAACTTTACCATTAGTTTGTATGCCGATTTATGTTTTTTGTTCGTCATAAAGAGACGACTCTGTTCTTTGCCACCGGAAAATTTTCTCTTGATGGACTTTAGTTCGGGCTGACATGTGCCCACATCTTTACTAACGGGAGATAAATTGACTCCCTTCATTCCTTTGGCAGTTTGTATTTTAATTTGTTTTCCTGTTTTCTTTGTCTGGCGTTTTTTTGGCGGTTCAACGATAGGTTTTTTATCTTTTGTATCAGAATCACTTGAAGAAGAAGACGATGAACACGAAGAAGTCGACGAGGACGAAAAAGACGATGAACTGCTATCGTGCCCTGATAATCTGTTACAACATGAACAATTATCGTTACACTGGGGAGATTCCGTTCTTTTAGACGCATAATTGTGATCTAATTGCACTTTAGTTAATATCATACTCGCTAATTCGTTTGCCAATTGTCTCTGTTGGCGAATATATTCCCAATAATGATTCGCATTCGGCCTTGGTGACACGACATCTACTTTATAGCGGTATGCAAAACCCTCATTATCACTGTTGGATGAACTGTAAATCGCCATATTTACAAATCGATATTAACATTCATTAAACTATAATATAATTCATAACGGTACAAAAATGTATAGAAAAATATTTAGAGTTTCCAATAGCAAATTAAATGTCTTGTTATATTTTGTTAATGATAAAAACACACTCAATACGTTGTATGGATACGATAATAAATCAAATGTAATAACAATGTTTTTTTGTAACCATTAGGTGACTAAATTTTAAAACCGAATCATAAAATTCACGGAGTTCCAAACAACTTTGTATAGAATCGTTTTACGTTAGCAATGATTTATTGTTGCGTACAGCTATAAATTTAAATAAATGTATGTATATAACCTTTTATTTTTGTGTGCCTGTGAGGGGCCAGATGTTTTGTTCCAAAGTATCGAGTGGACCACCTTTTCTTAAAGAAATGTTACCTAGCTAGAGTTCATTGAGAGGTCATTTTTTGGTTTTTTTCCCAGCGGTTCTCATAAGAAATGGAAAAAACTAGGAAAAAAATGTATGGGTAAAACGGAAAATATTTACTGCGTTACCGATTCCATTCCAAAAATTTGACCAAAGGTCAACTGTAGGTTCAACTGTGTTTTTTTTTTTATAAAGCGTTTAATATTCAAATTTTAATGACATCGTAAATATCACGAAATTTCAAAACTCATGCAGATATGTAATATTTAACTGAAGTTCGATCAGAATCGATAGAAAATATTGATACGTATAGTATACCAATATAAACTAACAACTGTTTTATAACAAAATTATGGTTATGCTTTGCAGTGCAAGCTCTTTTCCTTTGCTGGGCATAATATATTTAAAATAGGTCACTCGAATATTTGCCAGTTTTTACTTCCCTGTTAATTGTTATCGTTAAACAGAAGAGTTCAAACAAATTTTGATTTTCTTAGCAAGTAGTCCCAGGTTTTTATAGACTCCCCGTATCTCATCCGAAGCGTTTAATTTAAAGTTCCTATATTTTTTTTTATTTATTTATGTCCCAGTGTGATCGTAAAACTATGCTATTAATGAATCCCTTACAAGAACGATGCGGATGGCCAATGTCCGACCATCATTTTCTTCGTATTTGTCCCGTTGTGTTCCGTTGATTTATTGTAAACTTTAGTCGTTACTAGTAATCGTATAACGGTTGGATTGTCATTCTATACTTTTGATAAAAACAAAATAAAAACGAACAATGTGTTTCTTTCCAGACTTTTTTCCTAGAAAACATTCAGTTTATCGAATTTTTCTTTTTGATACGCCCACCTTCCAGTCACACGCGATTTAACGATACGACCGCGTGTTCCGTATAAAAAAAAAAAAAATAATAAAATAAAAAAAAATATCTCGGCAAACCGTGAATTTTTCAGGAGTTGCGTTTATTTACGTGTATATACCTATTCGTACACAATACAAATAATACGTATGTACGCATGCAGAAAAGAAAAAAAAAAAACTCGGAAATTTATAAATATTTCATAAAAACCGCGTGCGTATCGAATACCTACGTGTCTAGTGGCCGGGTACGCCAGAAGGTTACCTACACACGTGGGTACAATATTATACAGCGAAACTTTCTTCGGCATACTTACATATTTTTAGACACATACATGCATATGATACAGATATCTAATATGGCAATATTTTTATACACGCGCGGTTCGGGATTTCGTTGATTGAGTTTTATTTACTATGCGATACGTAAGTATACATAAGAGGAACCGCCGGTGTTCGAAACGGGCTACGGTCTGGAAACTCCCGGCCACCGTACGCCGCCGTCGTCACGCGTTTCCTCAAAACTTTTCGTTCGATTTGCGCTCCGTGCAAAAAAATAAAAAATAATAATAATAACAATAATACAATCAAGGCGATTCGCGAACCCGTGATATTTTAGGCGAATTCGATTCGCGTTATTTTCAATTGTTATTTCGAATCGTTTAAACTTGATTTTATTAACACTTTCACTAACAACGTTTCATCAACAATTTATCACCCTCACTCCTTGCACCCGAATCTAGTATACATTTTGTGTCTTCTAACCCCCCCCCCCCTTCCAATCCCCCGTTCTTTTAAACACGGATTCGCGCAGAGAAGATTTATCTACGCATTTTGTTATGCACAACACAACTATGGGATTTACCGTTTATATAGATTCGAAGTTTAGACGGGAGGAATAATGATAGGTTATGAATCTAAAAATGAATACGGAATATACAACCCCTCCTTACTCTTCCAGTGCAAATGTTAAACTATCGTGACACATAAACGGTAATCCGATATTACAGTGTTATATTTATCGATATTTTTTGAAACATATTCTCTATTCGAATCTGTATTTTTAAAATTCGGCTTATTTATGGTTTAACGAGTACGGGCAAAAAATTTAACATGTTTTTTTTTTTTTTAAATAAATAATTTCTTAAAGATTGAAAAAAAAAAAATAAAAATAAATCAAATATATTTAAAATCGTCCGAGTACATTGTTGGTTCATGATTGAATCACTCTGTGCGTATACTGCAACTGATACTACTACAATATATTTCAATGGAATGAGGTAACGCGAAATATATTAGCTGCAGAACGGACTTCGATTGAAATTAGTTTATTTTTAGAAATAGGTGGAGAGAGCGGTACCGACCGATCAGATCGGTACCGACCGATTTGCGTTCGTATCGATTATAAAAACGTAAATGAACAACGATTCCGAAAAATCCGTCGGTCACATTGCAGTACGAAAATTGTTCCCCCGTGAATTACAATTCACAAGTTTTCATACAATCACAGAATAAATGAAATCAAAGTTTAGAATAAAACTTCGATAATATGAAACTGAATGGATTCATTGCCTGTTTCTGCAAGCATGTTAGGGAATCCGCACCACACACCGCCATCGCGCGTGTACAAACATGGACGGAAATGTTCCCGAACAATCAGTGATAGTGTGTAATCCATTCTGTCAGACTTATGATGGAACTTTTATAGTGAACCAAATCCTAACAAAGCAAAGATTTCCACGAAACATAATATGAACTTCTATACAGCCTTTTTTATATTAATTATATTACGTATATATATATTTTGATTGTATATCAAAGGGATATTAATTTTTTTATAAAAAAAAATTGATAAAAAATAAGAACATTTGATATAATTTTTTGGAACTTTATATTTTGGCGGTCAAGTGAACTAGCAGCGTCTTCAGTTGCGCTAATCCAGGCCTGCTGATTCTTATACGTACTAAACTATCACTGTTTTAGGAGGAAATTCGGAAGGCGGGATGTATAGCGTAATTTAATTTTTTTCTGTGCGTAACGATAAACTATTGCTAACGAAAAACGATTCTGTGCAGAGTGTATGAATCGTAATAAAAAAAATTGAAATACCGGACTAATTAGAAATATTTAAAACAATTGTCTGTTTTAGGATGGGGAGTGATTTGCGGTGATGGGTTCGGCGTTTTAGAGGCGATGGTCGTATGCCGTTCCGCCGGTCTAGGCTACGCAGCCGGAGCGTTCCAGACGGACCAGTTTGGCGGGCTGGAAAGACCGGTCGCGTTGGCGGCCGTCGAATGCACGGGCGAAGAGCCGTCGTTGGACCACTGTTACCACCAGCCCGGAGCTGCGTGCCCCACTAGCAAGGAGACGGTGGCCAGCGTAGTGTGTGTCAAGGGTGAGTACGACTAAATCATTTATATTGACGCGAATTTTGAGGAGTATTTTTTTTTTTTTTTTTTAAACCAAATGAAATGTTTTTTTTAAATACAGCGCGCGATTCCTTTGTTAACGGTGTTACCGAATATTCCGTCTTCGGATTGGCATGGTGTATTCGGGGGAGGGATGACGAGGTGGCTTGGAATTACAAGTTCGGGATGTCCTTTTCTGCAGAATGTACACCCGTGATACAAATTCTATTTTTTAAACAAAATTACTATTTTTTACTCTTTATATCGTTTACCTACTAATAAAGCACATTATTACAAAAATACATAACGGAAAGCGCGTAACGATGAGTTGTGTAGTTTATAAATAATATACTATAAGTAATATTGTATACATTTTCAATGTCCGTTTCAAGTCTGCTCCATAAAGTGATAGTTACTATCGTGATAGTTGGTGCCATAACGATTGGTATAGTAACTAAATCATAGAAGCCAGATTATTTTTGGTGAATTTCTAATGAAATATCCAATATCTGTGAACGCTATCCCTCTCTTGGATATATAATTTTGTTACAAAATCTACTAATTCGATTATTTTCTATTTGTTTTCACAGTAAACATATTATCATTCTACTAGGCGTCCGATAGATTTTTCGATATATTCATGTTAAATACAGAAAACCTTCTTAAGAAAAAAAAAAAAAATGCACTGATAGTGACAGCGTTCACCCGTTGATTGAAATTGTAAAGATTGTATAGACAAAATGGCAGTAGAGTGAATTTCAATAGAAACGTTTTTTAAAGTGAACAACGATATAGTACGAGTTCATACAGTGACGCATCATGCATGTGTATAGTTACTACTATCAGCCTTCACAATAGTAACTGTCGACTATCGTGCACGCATTAAATGCCTAGTGTGATTTTCACGACAGTTCACGGCAACCTATTTACACGGCGATAATTAATATTTGAAATCGTCATTGATGCGGATTTCGAAACTATCACGATAGTATAAATTTAAATTGCGGAAACCGGGCTAAAAAATGTTTCGCTCGTTTCGGGAATGACCTATATTTCGGGAATTTACACTTGACGGGTTTCTCGACTATAAGCTCAAAACCAGCTTACAGTAAACAGCCTTTAATTTGGCGAAAAAACAAAAACGAAAAAAAATCATTCGTACACCTGCTAGCACTCTTCATACCGAAAATTTAATTTAATTATTTGCACAAAACAACCCGAGTGTACATTTTAATAAATATAATATCATAGCACGATGAAAAATACGTGTTGCGAAAACAATGACTACTAGTTATACAGTAGATACCTGTATACAATATATACAATATAGGCACGTACCTACTCCTCATTATAACATTATAGTATTGTTGAAATTACGATAAAAAAAAAAAAAAAGAAGAAAATCATAACACGGAAATGTATTTCAGGATGCTGCGCGATTTTTTTGTACGTACATTTTTAAAAAATTTATATAAATCAATGTTTTTGTAAACCGTAGTGCGGAGCGCACAGAAGTATAATACACCTATACACACTGAAGTACATTTTTTTTCATTTTTCCTATGGTCGCGTATGAATGCGCTGCAGACTCCACTCGCATTATACACATTACAGTATACGCGGTATAGGTACGTTATTTTTTTTTTCATTTTCGATTCGAGCAACAAAAATAACACAGGGATAATTTATTAATTCTCAAACCTTTTCTGCGATATTTTTGTACCGCGTACTCGACACTCGTGTCATTTAATAATAAATTCACGTAAAATCGTATCTATTTTGTACATACTACACACGCAGTGTTATGTTTAATATACGGATTTTACGTCACCAATAATGTAATTAATGAATAATAATATTTAGTTTTGAAACATTAAGTGAAAATAATAATAAACTTTTATAAACGACCAATTATCAAATTTGCATTTGAAATTAAAAAAAAAAAAAAAACTGAGCAGTTGAAAATATTGAAAATTTAAAATTGTTGTCGGACGATACTTTTCCCAAGATCTCACGTGTAATGGATTTCATTCTCCGGCCGGTTTTAAGTTTTATATCGCTGGGAAATACCGGTCAACATACTGGTTTTTCAATTGTTCGAACGTAATACGGATGCTTACGGCAAGCCATGTGATTTCCGATTTTCACTAAGAAACTATAACGGAATAATAGAATTATGGTATTGACGTGATATTTTGCTAGGTCTCACACGGAAACCGCACGACGGAATTGGGGAACTTCTCCTGGAACCACGGAATAAAAATTACAAATTAGATTATTAGGTTGGGGTCAACGCAAAACGATATCGCAGACTATCGGTTGGCCCAAACTTGATATTGCATCTCTAAGGAAGTTAGTCTTCAGTAGTAATGATCACAGCTGAACGGATTATTCGATAATTTATCGCTATCGAACTATTCGATGTATTAAAAACTATTCGAGCACTTCAACTATTCGGTTATGGTAGAACTGTTTTTTCGAAAAACCCGATAGTTTCCCGGAATAAAACTATTAGATGTTGGAAAAAAATATACGAATGTTCCATTCATTTTTATTCTGATTTTTTTGTATTTCGATAGTTTGTCCGACATCTAAACTATCGAACATTTTAGACTGTATAAACTTTTCGGTAATGTCTATCACTAATGTGAAACTACTTAGACCGGGTGTATTAAAGAAACCACGACGGGTTTGACTAACGAAAGTTGAACGGGAAATCCACGCCATGCAAGTTACAAGAATCGCTTCTAGGTTTGGCCGTTAGAAGGCGTGACCGATCGAGTTTTCATTATCTTTGGGACAAGCGTGCGGTCCCCTCACATCAGAAATTTTATTAAGAATTTATCGTTTCGAATATATAAAATATACTGGTGTATTTTCAATGTAGTTGCGTTGTGAACGTTTAGTTGGGTATTTGAATTAAAATATTCAATTGGGGTGGACCGCGGACGGAATCAATAAATCAAAGAAACGTCTGCGACACCGCGTAAATTTCATTTTCCTTTTTAATCGACCTTCGTTGATTTAGATCTTTTTTTTTTTATAGCTATTTCAAATATTAATGTTTGAAAAAAAAAATATTCGATACGACGGCGTTCGATTTTCAAGAATTTTCGTTTTCGATGGCTATTCACGTGTGTTATGTGCAGCGTAACGAGACAAATCCGATTATTATCTGAAGTTACAGCGTGATTAAACGAAGTTTTAGATGTACGTCTGATCGGAAAACCAAATAGTTCTAAGCCATTCAGGTTATAAACAACTGTCATTGTCTCGAAGAACCGATAAATATAAAATCAAACGGAGCCTTTTTACCCTGGTCTAATGTAGCGAAATACATTTTGAAATGGAATTGGGTATAATATTTTTAAAACATTATATTTTCGTCTCCTGAAAAGGCTTGATAAATGTGGCTGCCCGAATATTGCACAAAACTTTCCAATTGTCCGATAACGCAATCTATGTGATTCTGATGGATGTTCACTCGTCCCTACACTCATCATATTCAGCTACTTGGAAGTATTGTCTTCTATGGTCTGTTTTATAAATGTACTTCATGGTCTACTTTTTCCGGCTTTTTCCTCTATACCTCCTTCCATTCTTATCATCATCCGTTCATTGTTTACCCTATCATTTGTCTTATCCACATTTCCCTTTTTCCCTTTTTTTGTCTCTTTTCCCCGATTGTAGATTTCCATTATAATTTTTTTTCATTATTTCTAAAGTATTATAATCTGAAAGAATTTTAGCGTTCTTCTCCAGCACTATGTTTTAAATGCATCGATCCCTAATGTTTCGGGATCTAAAACCGGCCGTTTTCGATACTCGTATCATTACGATTCTACCCCAAAAGTAATACATTCCATACGAATTTCACTGGGTACGTGTTTACATGATCTTTCGACCATCCGTGTTTTCCAATAATAGGTTTTTCTTTTCGTAGAATGTTTGCAGTTTTACCTGCGCTATTCTGCTCTTTTTGTCGTTCGCATTTTTCAACATACGTTTTTTTCTTTATAAATACGTAAAACATTGATGTGTTTCCAGTTTTGTAAATCTATAGTAGTATATCGTTGAAGTTTACTCGCTATATTTGGATACCACGGCTAACCTATTCGTCATTTCGATAAGAGTTGCGACGATGGCAAACTGTCAACAAACTAAAAAAAAAAAAAACCTCGTAACATCGCTCCGTCCGAATACGTGAGTAGAGACCGCGAACTTGTTAAGTTGATTACTTTGTACTGGTAAGTACTTTTATAATATTTCGTTTTCCGTTCCGAAAGTTTCAGATCATAAAGAACGCGGTTTAAAATTTAGTGGTCAAAAATACCATTTCCAATTACATTTCACAACGCTATATTTTTTTTTTTTTTTAAGGTCACGGTTATACATATAATATTATTAAATTTTACAATTTTTTGATATTTTCGTTAATTTTTATCGACCTGCCACTGCATTTGTTATACATAATATTATTCCTATAGTTTTATTTATTTTAAATTTATTTGCGTTTCAATCAGTCGTAATTATATCAATATACTTTGATTTGGCTATTCAAAATTTTTTTTTTTTTCAACATAAACAATAACTTTTTTTAGATAATCTTATCCAAAACTCGAGAATCTAAATATAGTGCTTATATATATACGTTCAAATATGTCAACATTTTTTAAAAAAAATTTTTTTCCATCAGCTTTTATGAGATCTTTGCTACCTCAACCGCTTGTCTCCATATAATTCTATCTTCACCGTCTTCTAATATTGTGCCTTGGGGAATTTTTCAAGATTTGATATTATCTTGTACATCCAGCTTTACGGTGATCCCTACAACTTTGCATTCAGTTTCCCAGTAAGTATGGTGTTTCTATACCTCCAGATCTCCAATTATGACCATTCTATTATTTTGCTTTTAAGAAACGCACTAATGATGTACTTATAGAATAGTTGGTATACTTTCTGGTTAGTTCGTTTTCTATATTCTCCATTATCAACTATAAGTTTGTATCATTCGACAAATTACTCTCCTTTCAAATAATTTCATATTTTCCATATTTACTGAACAGGTTTCACATCCATATGTCAGACCTGGACGAAAAAAGCTGGAATATAAGTGTTTCTTTAATCTCATGGATAGAGTTTCGATTTAAGCAACTATCCTATCTCAAAGTAACTCTTATTTTCTGATGCAATCCTCAATTTGATTTCGCTATGTATACAGTTCTGGTGATATTAGTTTCTAGGTAACTGAAATCCGTAACCAGCTGCTGGATATATACCCATCAACTTGAAAATCAGCTGCGTCTCTAACTTCTCTTTATTACACAAGGTATTTTGTTTTTTTCTTGATTAGCTCTGAAATCTATCGTTCTAACCGCTAAAAGTAAGTCGGCAGTTCTTATTTCCACATCTTCTCGAGAGCGAACTATTACGACAATATTATATCAATTTTTATTTTATAATATTTAATTTTTCTTTTGGATATTGTTGGAAACGTAGAAATATTAAATAAAAAGACTGTTCCTCTTTAGTTCTCTGCCCTGTGCCCATTACGACAGTCACTCAATACGTGATAAGCAAAACGGTTATTATGAAAAAAAAGTTTTCTTGTATTTTCCATGAAAATTATTAAATCATCACTACCAAATTCCTGTTTATTATAGTTTAGGTGATATTTGTGGTATTATCTATGGTGTTATTTATGACAGATTTATGTAGATTTCGTGTTTTTCATAGATAAGGCGATAAACATTTTTTTTTTGCTTTATTCCCATAATACCGGTTTTTGCTAATCAGTTGTTGTCCGAGTGAATTTTTCTCAAGGCGTGGTCCATATTTGTACGATTGAGACGTTGGGTTCGGACACAATATTTTGTGCTTAACCGTTCCACTCCTAAAATGTCATAATACTATAATTTCATGTTACGGTTCTTGCGGATTATCGCTTCGCCATTTGACTTTACTACTTTAAAACGTGACATACCCAGCGTAGCATTTTTCTTTTACCTCTCATTATTTATTTCCCATGTAGTTTTCCAATGACTTAATGATTTAGCTTTTCACTTAGGACACAATTACTTTCTTTGAGCAGTATCTTAGATTCAGACGTGGTAGATTATTATTTTCAACCATAGTAATTATTACTGCAGGTCTTTATGATACTATGATTATATAACTCCTTATAATTTTACTGAAAACTGGGTACTGCACCCGATATAATGTTGTATATAATAAAAATATGGACGGACAATGCTATATTGTTCTCATGTGTGATCGGTAACAACTGTAATTATCAATACGGTAACAGTGGTTTCCGAATCATGTTTATTAAATAATCACAGTTTGACTTGAGTCACTGAAATTTTTAAATGGTTATAGATAAGAATTTTTATTATTAAATAACCAGAAACTCTAGTTAAACCGCTATACTAATGTCCTGCTCGTAGATTATTAATTTTTAATAAAACATCTACAACATTAACAATATTCTTAACAAATAATTCAATTAAACTTAATTTTTAACCTTATAGATATTTTTTCATTACGGCACAAGTATTAATTAAATAATTAGATAAAAACATATGGAATTTGAACTTTAAACTGAATCCAATACTACAATATTAGTTAGTATTGTAACTTTATTGCGCCGAACTAATAGATGAATATTTTATAAATATAAATTATATATATATATGTACTTTTTAATATTTCATCTGTAAAAATGTTAAGTTAAATAATTTATCTTCATAAGAAGGGCCGTGAATTTAATGCACTCAGAAAGTGTAGAATATGCATGCATTTATGCATTAAGAACAGACAAACTATGTTTTAAATTATGCACTATCTAAAATAATAATACCGATTTTATCAAATAATAAAAAAAAAAAAAAAAATGAAATTTTTAAATAAAAACGACTTACATAGAAAAATTCTTTATTTATATACATAATTTTTAGCGGTGCTTTAACGTCTGAAAAAAAATAAATATTGGACACGATATATTGTGTACCGTTTGAGCTGTGGGTTTTTAAAGTATTCAATTCAACGACTGTGTAATCAAGTTTTAATTAAAATACGTATCTATTTATTTTTCTAATAAAATCATAAAAGATAACGGATTTATTTAGTAAATCGGCGAATCGGCCGCGACTGGGGCGTGGATTGGACGCGCGGAGGCGCACGTAACGGGTGCCACGGATAATCGTCGAGAAAGTCACGAAGAAGACGCACAACAAATATCGGAAAGTCAAACTAAAAGAATCATTCGATATAGAAGATTGAGCTGAACCCAATTATTACCTCAAAATATATCTGAAACGGAGATAGTCTATCCGTTTAATACGTATTTGTAATTCGATAAACCGAGTAAATATACCGAATCCAATCGGAAAACGAAAATGGTCGGCACCTAATTAAAACCTTTATCAAGCAAAACAGATTTAAGACAATACCTATATTTCGGGATAAAGTTTAAATGGGTTTGAATTTATTAGAACCCAATACAAAATGGATTTCTATTGAAATGTGCAAAACATTCATTTCAAATGTACACGAATTTCAATGAAATATAACACTTGGTATTTTAGGAAATCAAGATAAAGATTTCATTTTTCAAAAGTTAGAAAATTTACTAACTTATAGCTTTGCATGGCTGAGCACCATTTTGTCGTAACGTATAATACAAAACCGTACTATTATACACGTTCTATATCAAAACATCGAAATAAAGATTTTTGTTTTGTTGTTTTGGTATCATTCAGCCGCGACGTATTTTCGGTGTCCACACGTATAATAGTGCGGTAAATGAAAATTTCGGGGCTTAATATAGGTGGTGAGGCCTATTGTTAGTGAGGCCCGCCACTGACGGTAAATGGAAAATTCGGGCTTGTAAACATCGGTCCTATATGTATAGGTACATTTCTCATCGGCTGAAATACACCGAAGAGAACTTGGTAACTAACGGTGTTTTGAGATGGTCGCGGGGGAGTGGCGATTTTGGCGGGATTGGGTACGCGGTTTAAGGTTGTAGAGGGTGAGGGTTTTTTTTCGGCCGAATCGGAATTTAAATTACTAGAGGTGGTATTCAGGGAGGAGGATTTGCGAGAGGTTTCGATTTTAGGAGGTCGTATGTGGAGATGAATTTGTTTCGAATTTCTGAGGGCCGTCAACGAGTTAGCCACCGTTACGGTTCCGGAACTCATACTCAGCTGTATTGCGTTTTGACGGAAATATTAACGATTGTGTGCGAAAAATAACTATTTTCTGTTTCACAGTCGTGTTTGTTATTCGTCGGACTGTACATTTCGGTAGGCGAATACTATAATAACAGCACGGTTGTTGTTGGTTAGTAAGGAAAATAATGTTGGTCGTCTATTTTTTGTTTTGTTTCGGCTACCCCACGCCGCGGTTCCGATCGTCATTAGCAGTGGTGTGTCCGGAGGGAACGTGACAAAAAAAAAAAAAGAATATTGTAAAATCGTCAAATCTGCGTGACTTGACTACGGGAGTTATTCGTAATTTAAAAGCCGTATCTTAAAAAGAAAAAAAAACAATTTTTAATCAATACATCAAGCTTTTACTCGTGACTTGGCTAACATATATGTGTTTCGCTATTAAATTGCTTATAATATATTTTTTTTTCATTTTTTTATGCTATTGGGTAGGGATATAAGCCCTAATCTCAGCCCCTACTCGCGTAATATATATATATACGTTACTTAATATATAAAATATTTTTTTTTAAAACAACTTTCAGAGGACATACTGTGTAGACGTAACTACTAATGGTGCGGCATCGATGACGGGTAAACATATTTTTTCAGGTACGACGTATATAAAAAGTAGCTCTACATACTGAATGGACGTATTGTGTGCTTCACAGAATAGCACTTGGGTCAAAAAAAAAAAAATGTCTATTGAATTAAATGACGTTCTTAATGTAGCTGTTATAATTATTAAATTTATTAAATCTGCAGGATTAAATAGCAGATTGTTTTATAAGAGATGAAGATAATGAACAAAATGTTAACAAATTTGGGCACCACTGCCCTATCCTATTACTAACCTATCCAAAAATATGCAAAATAAGATTTCATACATTAACTATAGATAAACAAAATTCTAGCTAAATCTATTTTCTTATAAGATGCAATAAAAAAAAAAAAAAAAACATGCTCATGCATTAAATTCACAGCCCTGTTCATAAGTTATGAGTCATAACTCATAACCCATTACTTATTACTGTCTATGTGTGTAGTGTACTAGTTCATATTTTAAAGATTTAACAGTGACACTAGAGTTCGCTAGCGTAGTAAAAATCAATATATCACTTTGAATCACATTTTTTTTTTTTCAAGTTATGTCACGATATTCCTTTTCTTAATGTAATGTGTACGACGTAATAATCCGCATCATTAGCGAACGTCTCGAAGTGCATTAAATGTATTATTATTATTTTGTAATCTTATGCTAAACCATACGTTACAGTAGAGTATTTCATTATTTCAAAATAGCTACGTTTAGATGTACTCAGTAAGCCAATGCGTCTTTTGTTAGTTTAAGTAGAACAAAAAAAAAGTAATTCATAAAACTAATGAGAGTGTCGTCTGTATGTGTATATGTGTACGTTAGCGTAGGTCGCTAATGGTATTGAAAAGCTTTTTACCGGCTCATTGTTTCCAAAGATCATCAGTAACAAAAATCCGGTGGGAAAAACTAACGTTTTTAATTAAAAACTTTCTCGTCGGAATTACGGAAAACACTTTTGCACGAAATTTCGACATCACCTGTCCATAGACCGCACCTGGTCCACGACGTCACATTAAATTATATTGGTTTCGATCAATTATGTAACTTTGGATCGTTGTCGTGGCGAAATTCTACTCGGGGGAGTTTCGTCCATTATAGGTAATGGTATATAACAATAAAAAATATATCGATTGGATTTTTTTTAAAAGTATTTCGGCGTTAATTTGATACCTACGCGATTAATCACGGCCGCGCGTGACAACGGCTACTGCAAACAGTGCAGGCCTCTTTGGCCAGCTACACTGTATTTTTCTTGTGGAAACAAGTCTTTTTTGTGAGGATGTTATCCAGACACAGAAAAAAGTTCATCTGATACTCAATAGAATAAGATTTTTATAATTTTGTGTTTACTGCAAAATTAATAGTAAATTATTGAATTTGTAGATTTTGTAACTTTATTTTTTGTTATTTTGCGTAGTAAATGCTTTTATTGGTGTGGAATTGGTAAACGAGGGAAATCTACTAGTTAAGGAAGAAGATTTGGTCTATCTGGTCGTGGAGCTTATTTTAAAGGAGGAAGAGTGGACGTACAGTTGATATTCGCTAAAGAAATTCCTGCGCTTTAAGGACGCAATTATTATAACATAGTGACTAGAACGGATGCAAAATATATGCAATAATTATTAAATTACCGCAATTTACTATCGCTCGGGTTATCCTAAAATGTGAGGTTTCGGAAGAAGGGAGAGGTCCTCAGAAGCGTTATGACCACGACCTCGGTATAAATTCTATAACATATGTTCACGTTGCAGATTTGGCGGACCTGCAGGTGGACGTTGACGAACTGTCCAAGTCAGCTTATCTAGAGGACAGACAGATGTATTTTTTGCAGTGTGCCATGGAGGAAAACTGTTTGGCGTCGTCTGCGTACCGGATCCGGCAAGAAGAGCCTGACTGGCACCTGATCACCCGGAGACTGTTGAGGTTTACCGCGAAAATTACCAACGTCGGTACCGCTCCTTTCCGGCCGGCCATACCCAAACATCTGTGGCAGTTCCACCAGTGTCACATGTAACGTATATTGTCAAAATATATTCATTTTTATATTAAAACACATTGTAATGAAAGGTAATCCCAGTCTTAAGATGTAAAGCCTCTGTGTTCTCCAAGCAAATATTTCTTCTTCTTTAGGGTATATAATGGTCTTTAGTTTTATTTCTTCATATCACTTGGCCACATATTCTCATTTCGTTTTTTTGTCGTCTGAAAAAAGACAAAATTTTCTCTGTCAAGTTAATTTATAGCACAGTATGAAATAATGCATCTGGCTTCCCCGGACAATCAAAATGTACTCCTCCATCTATTTCTGACCTCAGTTACCTCTCTCTATTGAACTCCAGATTCTACCACTCCTATTTTATATATTATGCATCACCGAAAACGAAATCATCCCATGTTCAATGAGGACTTCTTTATATTGTTATAGTGGCCGCTTCATTATATTGCGTTGTATTCCAATACATTCGTTATTATTGAACCCAGCTTTTCCCACGACCTGCCAATTTCGATCGTCGTTCAATAATAAAATGCATTAACTTGTAATATATGTCAAAACCGCGAATTTCGTCTCCTGCAGTGCGCCTATCGAGACTGAAAAATTGTCGAGAATCAGTAAAGCGAATCGATCGCCACTGTCGTGGCGACGAATGCGTACGTACGTTTGATCGTATGGACTATAATAACAATAATAATGTACCTATGTCGTACCTACATCATCGGTTCGTTAAAAAAAAAAAAAAAACCCCGGTCCCTTTGAACTTTCGCCGGCCGTTGTCGTTCGCGTAGTCGACGATACATAATAATAACGTTCGGTAGTATACGTTTTTGACCGGACTAGAATAAACGAAGCGATAATAGGGTACGCTGTTGATTTAAAACTTGCGGACGTGACTTTTCATCGGTATACTCGATTCGCTCCGTATAACGAACGCGCTCCCCTCGTTCCCGGAAATATTGTCCGTATGCAAATTTATTTATTTTTTTTTTTTTTTGTTTTGGACCATAAATATATGTATTATTATCGATAATGTTTTATATAGGTATCGTGCGTTTAGTATCGCTATTCCACACAATGCTTGCCAGGCAAATTGTCGACTTTTATTTTTTAATTATAGTTTAAGTCAATAAGTCGTTTAAAAAAACAATAATAATTATACTAAAATAATAACTGTAGGCTAAGTAAATAAAGTTTTAATTTTGAAATATAAATAAATCAATGTACAACTGAGTTGAATTATACTCATTTCAGGAAAATGATAACTCGAGTAATGCTAATGTTATAAATTCATTTTTTTAAATTCCCTTCGACTTCGTGGTTTTCTTAAACAAAAACGTTATAGAAATAACTAATTTAATTAAAAATATTTAAATGTTTTTTAAACGAGTTTATTTCGTATGTTAATTTTTTTTTTTTTATAAAGTAACTTATAGTTTAACTTTTAACATTTGAACTATAGTTTTTGTCCAGTGTTTATTTTACCTGAAATATATGTGTGTAGCATCCGTGAAACTTCAAGTTTCAAAACTCTATAGCTAGAAACTGGTGTAAAATCCAAATCTGACGTTAGGTGAATGCAGATTACAGTGAGTTAGATTTACCCGACGTAATATTCGTATGTTAGCCCAGGCAAATGTGACGTCGGGCGAATGTGTCTCCAATGGTCTTTATTAAATTAATTTTTATTTGTATGTGTGTTTTAAATTATTTATAACTAATTTATTTAATATTTCCTTAATTATTAATTAAACCATTTTTATTATTTATTGGAATACTGAATACTTTTTATTCAAAATAGAGGTATTTTGTTCTATTAATTTATAAGCACTGTAAATTGATATTTTTAGCAATAATAATGTAAACTGGATTCATTTTTATTATTGCATTTTAAAATTGTAAATCGCATTAATTTTTTGGTGCCTTGGGTATTGATTGTAATCTCTCACGCAGTTAACCTGTGTTTCTGATTGCAAGCATCTAAATGATAGTAAGATACTTGCCGATGAAATTATGAACTTACAACCACGCGGGGTCGGTTAAAGTCTTATGGAAATACATGTTTGATAGAGTACAATGGGTAGTCCACTGTTATGCATGGCCTTTTTTTTAAAATTATAAATGAAATGATGTCCGATAATATAGGGCTCAAACTCGCAGGATAGGTGCAAAACTCGTGAACATATCTTGGTTTTATGTTTCGCAATACGGGTAGGATTAGGATTGTTGTAGGTTAGAAGTTGAGAATAACATAATATGTGTTATATCATGCTAAATTGGTTCTTATCTATATATCTACGTAAATAACATTTTTTGTTTATAAATTTATCAATTCAGGTTTTTAACGACTATGGAAATTGATTACTACGATTTTTGATTAATGAAAACCACTACGAATATAAATTATGTACATAAGTATCATTATACACTTGTTAGCTATTAATTATGTTATAGTAAACTAATTAGGCCCATTTACTCACACAAATGCGCATTAGTTTTCAACGTCGTTGAATTCGCAATAAATATTATCGTGTGTAAAATCCCAGAAATTCCTAATTAAAATAGGGTAGTCTCTTATGGCAATCATCTACGAAATTGGATTATCCAGTAAATGTCTGTCCGCAAATCTTAGGAATGTCCGTGTATTGTCTGTAGTTAATTTTATTTCTTAAAAAATACCGATAAAGCCATTTTGTAAAATATATTATTCTATACAGTTATTATAATACATCATACACTCATATCCGATCAATAGTTTCTTAGTAATAGCCGTTTGAACTTCCAGAAAATATGCGTGAAAACGATTATTATAAACAACCGTGTTTCGATTGTGATTCCTTAAAAAAAAAAAAAAAATAAATATTGACAGAGTTATTAGCGTACGGATAACACTGACTGACACATCTTGTACACTGTAATATTGAATTATGCTATCAATTAAAACTATGGTAGGTAATCGGAGTGAATTGATTTATTATGAAAAAATCGATAGCTATAAGAATATAATAATGTCAATGTAAATAATTTATATTCGTAGTGGTTTTCGTAGTTAATCAATAGCCGTAGGTACTAATATTCAGTAATGGAAAATGTTCGTCAGGTTTGTTCCAATGAACAATAAAAACGGCATAATCAATAAGCAAGAAAATATAAAATAAATTGGAAATAAATAATTTGAACCGTGCGCGTAAATAAGAATTGATTCAATCGCCGAGGAATAGCATTCGCCCGACGTCAGATTCGCCTAGCACACCGGGTTCTTTTTCGCTCGATTTCCATCGCGCAGATAAAACCGACTCGACGGCGTCGATGATTTTATTGAGTTAACGGTCGGACTTTTTGAACTAAACGTTCAAAAAAACCACCGTTGCGACTGTTACGTCGGACGAGACGACGGGCGGACGGCAGTTTCCTTGTGTTGTCCGCACACCGTGATCGCATGCAGAAAACGTCAAAGGCGCGTCGTTTATAACGCCGTGCCGCATATCGACGCAGGGCGAGAAATCATCTGGACGGAACCGTAAGGAGTAGGTACGAAATGCGGAGGGATTTAGATAAAACAGACCGGAAACCCTCCCCCCCCTCCCCCTCGGCTACAACAGTAGTCGCCGATCGTATCGGTTTTAATCGATTTTTTCGCTACTGAATTGTTCCAAAATGCACGTGAAAATGCCGTTGAAAGTGTATGTATACGTATATATATATATATATATGTGTGTGTGTGTGTGTGTGTATACTCGAATCGATCGACGGCTACGGTGAATACGGCAATCGCTAAAACTTTATTTCGCACCGTTCCCAGGCAGACGCCGGAACGTAATATATTATTTCTCGTTCGGCGATGGCGAAACGCGATATACGAGACTACACCCATAATTTTTTTACCGGGCTGTCGATCTCTTCCAGTGACGTTCACGTCGACGTTTCAGATAGAATTTCGTTCGTAAAAATAACGTCCGTCCGTTAGGCATGTTTTCCTTAAACTATATTAGCAGACATGCGTAATAGTCTCCCTGTAGCCAAAATGTACATTAATAGAACGAAATGTCTGTCTGTCCAGAGCGCCAGATTTAGCCCTATAGCTATTGCTTATAGGGACGCTATGACTTCAGGCGGCTAGTTGTTAGAAATATTTTTGAACATAAATTTCGATGTTAAAATGTAATATTTATATTTATAAACGAGTTGTTGGACATTGTAAAATTATAAGAAAAAAGTCCGGGGTTAGCCGAATATCATTCAGGCGTTCGTTAAGTAAACGAGCGATAAAAATATACATTGTATTATGTATGATAAAATTATTACAAATTTATAAAATATTCAACACGCTCCCTGGAGAAAAGAATCAGAATACTCACACTGTACTTATACCTGTCGTAAGAGGTAGCAAATGTTTTATTTAATTTAATTTAATTTAAATTTATTTATTTATTTTATTTTAAATTTATCAAATTTTATACGTAATATTTATTCGGTAGTATCTGTGTAGTTAAGTTGTTAGACTAAAAAGAAATGCCTGAAAATTTAACAGGAGGTTCATTAAAAGTCTTAATTTGCGGTGAAAAAAATAATAGTTATTATTGATTTATTTATTCTTATAGTGAAGGAATTTAGCGATGTTACCTATTATAGTAAAGGTTTCGTTTTTGGCTACAAAACCCTAAAAGCGATTAACAAAAATGTAATCTACTATGACAAATTATTCTATGGCGAAATTTCCGATGAAATTGAAGAAAAAATATTAATAAAATCGGGATGGTTCTATTTATATCAACGATGGAAAGGAAAAAGAGCATAAACAATATTTTAATGAAAATCGGTTTTTTACATAAAGGCGTAAGCGACGTAATTTTACATAGATTATGATCATCCGATTATCGGTATTTTAGTTGTTGACGGAGTTATAATAAAATAATCTATATTTGAATGGCGTAAGTGCCATCTATCAAATTAAGGCGTAAGTGTTAAATAACGGGAGTAAGCGACACAAAATTAAAAATAGGGCGTAACCACCAAAATTCAGGTTAAGCGCCATACTTCCATAATCCTAAAAAATGTTTGGCGTAAGCATCAAAAAATTATACGAATTAACAATTTAGGTAAAAAAAAAAAATAACGAATACTACTTAATATGATGCCAATTTAATTACAATATTAATAACTAAAAAAATTGTTCATGCGAAAATTAAACAAAATTATTTTAAACGGCTTCAAAATAATAAAAAAAAAAAAAAATCGTTTTTTTGGCTCTCTTGTAAAATTGATAAAATGTCCCTTACGCCCTTTTTCCTTTCAAACGTAGTATAATGTTTCTATAGTAATTATTCTCAGCACTCAACACTAACCCTCTCCCTCCAACTGCACCATATGCGTTTAAGCGATAAAAAGTTTTAATATTATTTTTTTAAATTGCTTAGGTACCTCTATTGCAAAGCACAACTATTATAATTATACTTTTAACACTTTTTACATCCGTGCGCGAAGACTATAAATTAGAAAAAAAAAAAAATTGAAATTAAACCTATTTCGTTAGCATGCGGACGTTTCTGTGAGAGAAAAAACCGTGAATTGCACGAGCAGGTACGCGGTAATCGAACAAATACGAATGTATTGTGGAATTTATTTTAAGCTTTAATTAGCTACTTTATAATATTTTTCGTTTTATGTAAAGGTTATTATTTTTAATTGGCACATTTGGTCTCGTGTCCGTTTTTTTATTTCAAACTTGTGGAAATATTGCCGTTTTGACCGCTAAAACGATGCGATTAGATATTATTGTAATGAATTAGAATTCCGTGGCTTGGTGCAAGAAGTGCTAATGTTAACAATTGTTTAAGAAACGTTTTACATTAAAATTATATAAAAAACGGTACATTTTTGAAAATAAATGAATATGTTTAGTTTCCAGTTTTAATTTTCAATTTATTTATTTTCAATTTGTGTACGTTGGTTCTTTATATAATCATAGAATTATACTGTCTTGATAAACAAATATATTGTGAATGACTATTTTTTTTTTACGAATGTCTTCCAGATGTAAAAAAAAATTTCATTTAAAATGTCTCGAACCAAATCGTGGTGGCCTTGATCTCTATCTACTTTAAAAATTATAGCCCAGAAACTATATTCGACAAAACCCTACCTTACTTCTCATTAACAGCATTGCGAAACCGTCTTTTAACTGTAACAGGCACGTAACCGTGGAGGTCAGGCATCCTTAAACAAATCATCGGTATTTAACTGACGTAAGGTTTTTCTGACGTAAAAAAAATTCAACAACTTTAATATTGTCTCAAGAAACCGGAATTACAATATAATGTGTTATAACTTGACTACAACTGAAAATGTATAAATTGTGAATACGCTTTGCAATTGAAGGTTTTACAAACGTCAATTCATTATTCTTACGTTAACTCACGGAAAATTTATGGAAGGCGATGTTGCAATCACCCTTTGGTTATTTTTTTAAAACAGATTAATTTTTATCAGGTTGTTTAAAACCATGGTGCTTATATTGTGTTTAAAACTACCTATAGTTTAGTACTGTAGTCAGCAGACATGCTTGAAGATAATACGTTTGACTGTAGAAACATTGAATTGGTAATGTAATTATAGTAGAGGTGTTGTTGACGTTTGACCGCTATCACTTAATGTAATTGAAAACTATGTGATGATGCCTAATCGCGTGTAAATTTTACTGTACACAGGCACTATCATAGCATGGAAGTGTTCGCCACATTCGACGTGCTGGATAGCAGTGGGGCGAGAGTTGCCGAGGGTCACAAGGCGTCCTTTTGCCTCGAGGACAACCAGTGCACGGGCGGCGCGAGACCGGCTTTTGCGTGTGCCGAGTACGGTGACCAGGGCATATCGGTCAACTGTTCGGACATTTACCGGCACAACATCGACTGCCAGTGGGTAGACATCACCGACCTGAACCCGGGACTGTACACACTGAAAGTATAAACTTTTTCTACCTATTGGTCCGTTGAACGACCGCGTATAAATAGTAGGTTGAGGGAATTTCTGTTGTTGAAAATAAAAACCGAAAGAATACGAGCGGCCAGAGCTCTGTCACTAAACTAAAATTTCTCTACAGCTAACTTGTTACAGTAGTGATATCTTATGACTTTAATTTTTTTTATAACGATAAGGAGTTGAACGAAAAAGTTGTATCGAATTAGATAAAGTAGTTCTCGAGATCGGTTATTAGTAAACTTGTTAATCAATAAAAATCCAATTTCAATATTAAAATCTATCACATCCAACAGTTTTGTCGTGTTCTTCGTCGGAAACGTTATATTCGTCCGTAAAAACGGTCCTATAACTTCCCCTTAAATGGCTTTCGGACAATAAGTTAGTGGAAAAGTCTTATCATTAAGAAAATCGTAAAAATTTCAAAATACATTTACAAATTTATAACAAAATTGGTGACCTTTTTGGAAAACAAAGACTATAAATCCCTTAATGTGGCGCTTTGCAAACTCCAATATTTTGTACGTGGTTTTTTTTTCACAAATGCTCAATTTTTCTAAGTACAAATATTATAGTTATGTTACTAAATGTTTGAAGTTTTTTTTTTTTTAACTTTCGCCCATTAGACAATTTGTGAAGAAAATTTACTTTTAAAATATATACTCGATCAGGTTAGGTAGAAAAGTTTCACGAACGCAATTTTTCTATACAACCACAAACTTCTGTGTAGAATTTCACTTTTTTTATGGTTTCAATTTGATGCTAATAGTGTCGGTGTATTATCGTTGCGTTTTTAATATATAATAAATGTGAATACATTTATTAATTCGGATTCCTATATTGTTTTGAAAACGGAATTTTCGTATTATGGTTGACGTACGTCTCCTTTATGAAAACGTCTTGAAAATACGATATTCTGATGTAACGTACGAGAAAACGCGACGAGACGTCAGACAATGAAAAAAAAAAACCAATGCCGTGTACTTTCGTGCAGCAGTACAATAATTGCAACCACAATAATCATTATTTTGTTCAGGTGTCTGTCAATCCCGAGTACAAAATCCCGGAAAAAACGTACGCCAACAACGCCGCCGTGTGCTCCATGTTTTATTCGGAAACTTTCGTGAAAATTCACGACTGCATCGTTCGAAATCCGATCCGAAGCCCCCGGACGTAATACGACCGTCGTCATTGCAGACTACGGTGTACGCGTCGCATTATTATTATTACTGTATTACTATTATTACCATTATTATTGTGAATATTTTCATTATTATTATTTACCTTTTCGAAATGAACCATCGTTTGCCGTGTGCATTTTAATAGTTTTTTTTTTCTCACCGCTACGCGACGATTTCACTTTGTACGTACAATCGTTGGCCCGGTTTATACTTACGGTTTATCGTATTAATATCAATCGATCAATTGTAATATTAATCGGCGCGTAAAAATTACGAAAAAAATTTCAAGCAAAAAAACACGCCCGTCGCCAGTATCGGTAGCACCATTTTTTTATACGTTGAAACTATATTTTTTTCAGCGACTCTTTTTTAATGTTCTCCAGAACAAAAACAGAGTTATTCGCGGGAATCATTATGTATTTAAACTACCAAATATTTTTTCTGGTTTATAATTAAGATAGATTACAATTCTTTTTTTCGGTGGCATTTCGATTTCTAAACTAAATTATTGCTCCTTTTAATAATACGCCACTAGTATACGTCATACATTTCCACCTATATACTCACTTACGACAGCGTCATTTATAGATATTTGCTTTTGTCGTTTTCACGCCTCTTCTCGACAGCACTTTTGCGGCACTACACCTCAATAACTACAACGACATTTACCTACGAGTACATATGTAGGAAGTACGAATAATTCCGTCGCAGATGGCGCATGTCAGTTTTTAGTGAATATTCACTGCATGTCCCCTCCCCTTCAAACAATTTTCACGATTATATAGACCGAACCTTTCCTTAGATTTTTGTCGGTTAATCCCGCCAGTGTCTTCCGCATAAAAATATAATATAACGTATACTGTGTCGTTAAAAAATCCACTGATTCGATTGTTTTACCCATCTACACCGGGTGTCCGACAAGCTCAGATCGAAACTGTGTCCGATACGGACACAGAAAATTACCTTGAGAAAAAAAAAAATGCCCCGATGGTGTCATTAAACAAATCCCACGAGAACTATGTACAGGTATACAGGAACGGAGCGGGGGAAAAATACAAAATACAAGTTTTTTTGTTTTTTTTTTTCGAACAATCGTATTTTTTACTGGTTCACATCCATTGGAGTTCTAAAAAATAAACAACAAACAAATAAACCGCTAACTACGAATTCGAATACAATTTAGTAGATATATATATGTATATACGCATATATAATTATAATAATATAATGTATAATTAATTAACACAGATCGGATATCGTCGATTCGCACGCATATAATACTATAACATTAATACATAATACGATATAAACACGAATATAATAATATTATTATAATATATATAATATATATATATATATATATTTATTTACTAAACATCTACACGCGCGTATGCGTAGAATATATTATTATTTTATTAGTATAATATAGTTTGCGTAGAACTTATTTGGTAAATATTTTGTAATCGGTTTTTTTTCCATTCAAAACCGTCTAAGGTTTGTTACATTTTTTTTTTTTTTTTTTTTTTTTTTGCTATTCCATTACCTTTTGAAACATCAATGTTTAATAATTATATATTTCGCTTTTGGCATTGAACAACATGTCTATATTAAATATATACATATATATATATATATATATATATGTGTGTGTGTTTTTATGTGTATACAAAATTCCAGTAAATATTTAAAATTATATTAATAATATTATTACGTTCCGTGTTTTACGACAATTTTTAATATTATAACGATAACAAACTAAGGAGATAAAAAAAAAAAAAAAAATATCACAAAAATACACTATTTCCACGTATCAGTGGCGTGCGCAGGGGGTTAAGGGCACAATCGCCCGCGCCGTATCGGCACGAGAATACAACGGCTACAACGCGTACGAGCATTCGGTAACTGTTAATCTCCTCGATTTCGAAATTCGATCCGTACTGTCGACTAGATACGAGATAATAAGAAGGCAGGATAAGAGATAAGAATTAAAAGAGATTCTAACGGTTTGTATATTATTATGGTTATTATTATTAGTTACATATATTCCCGAGCACGCCACTGTTGTTATCCGTCCTATTATTGTACGACAACGACCTAATCGATTATTATCTAGACGGGTTAAACTAAACTATAAACAAAAAAAAAATAAAAAAAAAAAATACAAATATTATATACATAATTTCGCATGTTTGTTATTTAATATTATTGTGGATCGTGTGCAGATCGGATGATGGCAGTCGTTCGACCGGTATACGGACGAAACGATTCGCATTATGTCGTGATATTGTGTTAAAAAAAAAAAAAAAAATTGAAATTGTTTTATAACCTTTTTTTTCATTGTTATCGGTATTATTAATACACCTATATAATTCAATAATATACAATCAGTACAAATTAATTATTATAATTATTAATCAAATATTTTTCTCTCTCTTTCTCTTTCTCTCTCTCCCACTCTTTCTAATTAATAATTTAGATAATTTTGAGCAGTCTATGGAATTACTTTTTAAACATTCGCCACGCGGTATTTTTTTTTTTTTATAAGATACGAATGTTACGAAACAATAAAAACAAAGTATATTATTATTATTTTATTCGATGGCAAATATTTTTAGCTTATTCGTTCGAGAATATTCACAGCCAGTTGTTTTTTTTTTAAATTTTTAAATTTTTTAAACAAATATATAATAATATTTTTGTGTATACCATAGTCATATTATAATAATTTTACAATTTTGTAGATTTTTCAAAAAAAAAAAATTTAAAAAATGTTAATCGATTGCAAGAGAGACAGTATAAGTATAGTATTAAAGACAATATATTATGTATATATTTGTTTTATGAAGTATTATTCGAGACGGCGATGAGTGTTGTTTTTTTTTTTTTTTTTTTTTTTTTGGTTATTCTTCTCATATCTTTAAAAACGTCCACAATAAAAAAAATGAACCCGTAGAACAAGCGAAACGTATATAACGGTAGAGGCGGGGAAAAGGGAAGTTATGTAGTTTATGATGACAACTAAAAGACTAAAAGACACTAATTACTAAAAATATAAAGAATCGAAACGAAATATCTATAATAAACGATATATCTATAAAGTGAGAATAAAGTATATATAGAAAGTACAGGGTGGTACATAAGTAAACTGCGTAAATTATGACATGCGTATTAGGTTAGGTATACGATAATATTACTATTGCGATGTGGTGAAACGTGTGTGAAGCCGAACGGCGAAACGACGAAATGAAATATCGAACGTGTAATCGACAAAAAAATAAAAAATAAATGCTGGTTTTTTAGACCGAATCAAACGCCGAAAATTGTTGATCGCTTACCAAAGGTAAAATCGAACGGAACAGCGACGGTGGCGACGATGACAACGACGGGTACCGTGTTATCCGTGTATTTTATTTTTTAGATAATAACGACCGCTAGACGGAATTTTTAAGAGGTTTTTCCATTAAATTCTTTTTATCATTACTATTGTCGTTATTTGTGAAAAACGTAAACAGAAAAAAAAAAAACGTTAAAAACCTTTGATCCCCGATGTATATATTATAAAAGAACCGTATTGATAATAATATTGCCCTACCGACTGTTGGCGGACCGCGCCTTCTATAACACTACAAGTACACCCTTTGCCCGACGAAAAAGTCAGTCGGCGAGATCCGTGATAAGCGAAACCGGGGGATTGGTTTCCGGGACAGAGAAAAAAACAATATTACGTTTTTTACGTTTCTTCGGCTTTCGTTCGATACGCTTTAATCTACCTGTAACACGACCCATGTCTGTAACTACAGATTCGTATACTCCCTATGTGAAATATCCGCGAACAAGATCCTCGAGTAGTCGAATATTGATGAAGGCGAAATTACTGGCGTTCAACGTTTAAAACAATAATCGAAATTATAGAACCCGAGTATTGCAGGGGCCGTGTGGGTTTTCGCACTTGACTGGAGACGTACCGGACAACGTAATTTATTGTTTTCAATCTTCTGTTTATGTAAAAACGAAAGTGTGCGTGTTTGTCTTTTATGCATTACCACACCATTCTTCTGAACGCCATAAAACTTTGGGGAGTCGTTGAGTACACTCCTGTGAAGGGAAATCCGCCTATTGAAACCCACTTTCTGTTAAAATACCATTCCCTGAAATACGATTTTTAGGTTTTTTTAGTTCACAAACGAATTATTTTTGTTGATTTATGGGTTACCTTGGTAACATGGATGAAAAAAAATAAAAATATTATTACTAATTTTTGTAATGCAGTTCCCGTGCTGATGTGATCTGAAATGATGCCCCCGAATCAAGTAGTACTATGGACTTTAACATCTAGTGTAAATCGATATTAGTAGATAGCGTTATTGAACCGCAGCCGTTTTTATTTTCTTGCGTAAAGCATCGAACGTCAATGCATGACAAATTGAAGCTTTTCATCGCGGAAAACACGAGAAAATACATATTATTGTGTCGTATCTTTATTTTTCCTCCTCGCACGAGAATACCGTGTTTGTTATTTTTTTTATCGTGGTTGACATAAGGTTTTGTGAAAATCCGGGCGAAAATCATTTTTAAAGACGTGGCAAACGTACAACGACTATATTCCGAGAACTTGTACTACGAACACTATAAACTTTGACTTTCGGCCACACGCCAGACGGAGAAATACGATAAACTACGGAGAACGCACTATCACGGAATACGGCTACAATATTAATATCGCATTAATACACTGTCGGCGTATAAGCACCGTACGTTATAAAATCAATGACATTACGAACGCGGCGCGGAATACAAATGCCCTGACGGTTTTCACGAAAACGTGTGTGAAGGCTCTGCCGGCCGGCCCCGTAAACCCTGCGCCGCGGCGTTTGCTCATCGCGTCAAGATGTCGTCTGACTAATTGTGTTCGGGTCGGGGCGCGGTCCAAATAATTATAATTACGGTCGGTCCGGCATTATAGAAAACGATTCTAGAATGTTATAAAATATTCAACGTCGAAGCGTGTTCGTTCGATATTTCCAATACTGGCATAATAATGTTATCGGGCGAAACGACGAGAAACACGGTACAGCGTACAACATTTAAACGTTAATAACATCGAAAAACCACTACTAACACGTCGTAATTAAATATCGTTATTTAAATGTATAATATTTATAAATATATATATATATATATATTTAGTTTTTATTTTTTTCGTAATAATATAATAATATAAGCTACGTATATTGAACTCGGAATGAAATATTACTTATATTTTTTATTTATGGTATAGAGTATATTATTATTATAAAGATTCAAAAGACGTACGACACGCTATACTAGAAATTAAAAAGTTAAGTAAAAATAATAAATACTCGTTGCTCCACTCGGCCCTAAAATATAAATTCAAATTTCACAATAATTAACAATATAATAATATAATATAATAATAATAATAATAATAATAATATTTTTATCTCCGAATATCATTTTTTTTTTTTTTTTTTTTTGTTTTTTTGTTTTTGTTTAAACTGCTTGAAAATCTAACTCGACATTTATAATAATAATGTTATACAATAACAACAACAACAATAATAATAATATTTTTTTAAAATATTCTAAATACTTATTTATAATGTTTTTAAATATATAAATAATATAAGTAATTGCGTATACGTGTCGCCACGTAAACGTAATTACTTTTTTTTTTTTTTACTATTTAATCATAATATTATAACGGGTATTTTTGAATCACAATAATCTTTTTTTTTGGTTTTTTGTTTTTTTGTTTTTTTTTTTTTATTATTACGCTGTTTTTAGTTTCTCAGAGGTTATTATATTTTTTTTTTTTTTTTTTTTTTTTT